CCCCCCCCCCCCAGGCCCCTGCGTCACCTTTATCCTAGCACTTTCGGTGAACGTCCCGGTGCAGGGACGCAGCCCGTGGCCTTTTGATTATGGAAGTTGACTGGACGCTTTGCAACAGAGTAACTTTTAATCCTCAGAGTTCATTTTCTATGTAGGCTCCTCCCACGAGTTACATAAGCATATGTATGTGCATATGTACATCTTATTTACAAAAGGGATTACACAGTTCAGATTATCGTATCATCTTCTGGTTTCACTTATATTGTATCTTCTTAAGCGTGTACTTCACGCGAACGAGGACACCTTCACGCAGTGGCTCTGCCTGCTGTCTCCAGGCTGTCCTTGTAGCCGGGTTCGAGTGGCCGCCTCTGAGGACGTCCTTGGGATAAATCCTACAAGTGAGGCGGCCGGGCCCGGAGCAACCCCCCACAGCCGCGTGTTTCCCGTTGCCTTACTCGGAGGGACGCGAAGGTTCCGTGCGTCGGCGCCGTCTGGGCGTGGCCAGTGGCCAAGGGCTCACGGACGGTCCCTCAGTCTTCCTCACCCAGGAGGAGGCCCACGGCGTCCTGCGCAGGCACCGGCGCGCCAACTCGTTCCTGGAGGAGCTGAGGTCCGGCTCCCTGGAGCGGGAGTGCGGAGAGGAGCGGTGCTCCTTTGAGGAGGCCCGGGAGATCTTCCAGAACGCCGAGAGGACGGTGAGTCCGCCCCCAGGGGGCGCCCTCCGCGCTGCCCGGCGTCGGTCCGTCTCCCTACTCGGAGGTCGAGGGCCCCGCGCACCGTGTCGGGGTCACGTTCCCACAAGAACGGCTCTCGGGGCCCCTGCAGCGCCCATGGACGGCGCCTCTCTGCGCGGGGCCCTCATTTCCAGCCGGAAAATGCGCTTTGAAAAGCAGGCCCCGAGGGGGCCCTGCCTTCCCATGGACGCTGCCCGCCCCCGACCCCCCTCCCCCGGCCCCTCGCCCCCAAAGCGGCCCGAGCTCCGTGCAGGGGCTGCTGATGGAGCAGACGGCGGGGACGCTGGCCTGGGCCTCTCCCAACAGCCCCCGCAGGCGCGGGCGGACACCTCGACCGCGGCTTCAGAGAGCAAACGTGTCGGGGCCGCTGCAGAGAGCCGCCCCACGGCTGTTTGCACGCTGGGAAAGGCGAGTGTCCACGCTGTCCCGCTCCACTCGGGGTGTGGCTATGAGGGGACAAACCCACACTTCTCCTCAAGGATCGTCTCACGCTCACAGGACACTCACCTCACACAGAACACTCGCCTCACACTCACAGGACACTCAGCTCACACTCACAGGACACACACTTTGTGTTCAAAGGACACCTGCCTCATTCTCGCAGGACACACGCCTCACACTCACAGGACACCTCACACCAAACAGGAAGTGGGACTATTTGAGGTGGAGGCTCACATGACCTTTTCCAGGTATAGTGAGGATGGTCATTTCCTGCATTTGTGCCCCACTTGGGTTTTCAAGGCATTTCCCACAGTTGTCTTATTTTATTCTTAGAGTGATCCTGTGAGTTTCAGTTTGCTTGCCCAGAACATTCCTCAGGAATCCGTATTATTGGAGCCTTTGCATCCATTAGCACCTTTTCCTCCTGTCGCCCCATGTGTGGATGGTCCCCCATCACCAGAGAAGGAAACGGAGGCTCAGAGAGCACGTGTCTTGTCCCAGGGTCACATCTTGGAGGTGGCGGAAGTGGGGCAGAAACTCTGGAATTCTGAATCAGGACAGGGAAATTTGTGACCTCTGGTGGCCTTGGCCATCTGGGGTGGAGAGGCGGGATTAGGAAACACCCCCTCGCCCTGGGTGAACTCACCTCTTCTCCAGAGGAAAAGTCTGGCTTCCGGAGCCCACTGCAAAGGGCACCAGGCCAGAAGCCCCCGGACCACCTCACTTCACCCCAAGTCCCCCGTTCATTCTGTGGGGACCACAGATATTTGTCAATGTGTGTCTCATGCGGCTTCCTCTTTGTCCCCTCAGAAGCAGTTCTGGGTTTCTTACAACGGTGAGTAGGTGAACGACCCATTTCGCCCCTGGCCAGCCTCCCCCTCAGCGCCCTGACCCTCGGTCGCCCCTGCCTGCCGGCCTCCCCCTCAGTGCTCTGAACCTGGGTCGCCCCTGCCCGCCGGCCTCCCCCTCAGCGCTCTGACCCTGGGTCGCTTCACAGATGGGGACCAATGTGCCTCGAATCCGTGCCAGAACGGGGGTTCCTGTGAGGACCAGCTCCAGTCCTACATCTGCTTCTGCCTCGACAATTTCGAGGGCCGGAACTGTGAGACAAGTGAGGACCCCACAGTTTGCGGGCAGAGCCCCCACGAGGCTGATGGGCATGGCCGGGCCAGGCGGGGGCTGGGCCCCAGCCTCGGTGGGAAATGGGCTCGGTGACCGTGAGACGCTTGGATCTGAGACCCTCGGGTGCTAATTCTTGATCGCCCCTTGTCTGCTTCTGGAAAATACAAACCCCTTGGGCTCCCAGTGCTGGGGAATTTGGATACACCTGGATGGGGCCCCGGGGAGGGCACATTATCACTGCCCAGCATCCCACTGAGACAGTGAGTAAACTTCATCTTCCCTACTTGCTATTACGAAAGTGTGAACTATTTTTTCACCATTCTAATGTTAAAATACTGCGAGGTTGAGGGGTTCCTTGGGCCGTCTCAGGGTCAGTAATTGGCTGGGAGGACCCATAGCACTCTCTGAAGGCCAACATACTCAAAGTTACAGTGGAAGGCTACAGATTGAAGTCAGCACGGAGACCAGTGTGAGCTTCCAGGTGTCCTCAACCAGTGGGGTCTTACAGACAGTCTTCCTTTCTCCAAGAACAAGGTGTGACGAGACTTAGGGAGTATCACACTGAGCCTCCACGTCCAGGGGTCTTCTTGGGGCTCAGTCACGTACACATGGCTGACCTCCTATGTGGCTGGCCTTAGTCTCCAGCCCCTCCAGAGGTCGAGGTGATACCCCACCATGAATCACATTGTTACACCATCCAGTGTGGCCAAAGGCCCCCAAGGAAACATCATTCTTATCAGACAGATGGAATTAAATTAAAAGTGTCCAACTTAATCAGCAAGGGTGTGGCGGTCACCTCCCAGGAGCTGAGGGCAAAGGCAAATCTCTCTTTGGGTAACTTCAATCCTTTGCCACATGTGTACACTCTGATACTCAAGGAGCTCTTGTGGGCCACAGCCACCTTCTGCTCTAAGCAAACCAGGGAGAGTAAAGGAAAGACTAAGGAAGAGGCTTCTTGCCAGTTATCTGGGGCTACAAAGCCTCAGTGTCCTTGCCCAGCCCTTTATGCTCAGGAGCCCTGGTGTGAATCCCCCAGGAGCTTTGATGCTCAGGAGCCCTGGTGTGAATCCTCCAGGACCATGGTGCTCAGGAGCTCTGGTGTGACTTCACTTCCAGGCCAGGCCTTCCTGCTGGGGGCCCTCAACTGGCACAGAGAGCTAACCCCATCTCCCACATCCTAGCACTGCCCTTCAGAGAGGGTGAATGTTCCTTATCTCCATCTGTCTGAGCCAGTGGTCAGCCCCCGCCCGTTCACTGGGGCACCAGGGCCTGGCTATGGAACCATCTCATCTGCCTGGCCTCTTGCCAGCAGGTATCCAATTGTGGTGAACACTTTTACTGTCCCCAGGCCCTCCCCGGCTCCCACCAGCTGCTGGGAGGGGACCACAGAGGCCCCATGTGTCAGCCCTATGTCCCAACTGGCTAAGCTGCTCAGACATGAGACCGCACACAACCCCAGGTCACCCTTCCGGATCGATCCAGAGCAGGCTGGGACCTGGCTGTCTCTGCAGCCAACAGCTAAGCACCGTTTTCATGCAGAATGAGGGCTGGCTCTCCCTGACTAGCACAGGCCCCTCTCAGTCTGTCCCCTTCCTGTCCTCAGACAAGAAGGACCAGCTGATCTGTATGAACGAGAACGGAGGCTGTGAGCAGTACTGCAGCGACCATGCAGAGACCAGGCGCTCTTGCCGGTGCCATGAGGGGTACGCGCTCCAAGACGATGGGGTGTCCTGCGCTCCCACAGGTAACGGTCCTCAGGGGCCAGCTCCGGGGGCTGTGCTCTGTTTTGTGCCCAACGAGCAGCCACCCATTCCTGTATGGCTGACAGATGACAAGGGTGAGTATCACTCACTGAACACCTACTACACGCTGACCACGCCTTGCCCACTCGAGAACAGGCCACAGCAGGAGCCGCTCCAGAGTGGCTGGTCAACCTGCCTGTCCAAGGCAGGTCCAGAGGAGCCAAGGGAGTCCCTGCCCGCCCCACTGCTGTCCTGTGGGGCACCCCATGGCCACACGTGGGGTCTACACTGACTGTGGCACAGTCTGGATGCCACGTCTTTTTTTTTTTAACGTTTATTTATTTTGGAGACAGAGAGAGACAGAGCATGAATGGGGCAGGGTCAGAGAGAGGGAGACACAGAATCTGAAACAGGCTCCAGGCTCTGAGCAGTCAGCACAGAGCCCGACGCGGGGCTCGAAATCAAGGACCGCGAGATCATGACCTGAGCCGAAGTTGGACACTCAACCGACTGAGCCACCCAGGCACCCCAACCACATCTTTTTTTAAAAGGAGAGCACTTTGAGGAAAATGTAAATTTTCCCCAACCCGGTCTCGAACTAACACAGTCCCAGCAGCTCAGGTGCCCAGGCCTGTCTGTGCAGAGTGAAGTGGGTCCCACCCCCGCTAGTGCCTGAAGCTCAACCCCCACCTCTAAGCGGTGTCTCCGGGCCCGGGGACTTTACTGCAGAAACCAGAGGAGCCAGGTGAAAGTGCTGTGGCCCAAGGTCTGGTCAGCCTTTAGACAAGCGTCCACCTCCTCAGGCAGCACGTCGCTCCCCTGGGGCGACTGGCAGAACCCAGTTTCAACAGGGAGGCCCTCTGTCCCTGCAGAAGCAGCTCCCACAGGGTGGGCCTGCCCTGCCAAGGGCGTGCCTGCAGGCCGTGGAGCCTGTCCCTCAGCAGCTGTCCCTCCAGCACGGACCCCGTGGCCTGATGACCTGTTTCCCACAGTGGAGTATCCGTGTGGAAGAATACCTGTTCTGGAAAAGAGAAATGGCCGCGACCCCCAAGGCCGAATTGTGGGTGGCAAGGTGTGCCCCAAAGGAGAATGTCCCTGGCAGGTGAGGCTCCAGGGCCCCTGGAGGGAAAGCAGGAGGTCGGCCGCAGGACCCCGGCCCCTCGTCTCCTTCCACTTTGCTCCGAAGCCCACGCCTGCACGCTCACCTCCGTCCGTCAGTCCGGGTGTCAGCACCCCCAGCAGCACCTGCCTTCTGGCTCTCCCCTCCCATCTCTTCCCGTCTCCTCCTCGGGGCTGCTGCCTCTCTCCCCTCCACAGATGGGGGAGTCCAGGCCACTGGTGGCAGATGGCAAAGGCAGGATTTGAACCCGCCACTATCTGCCCCTGGAAACGGAGGCAAGGCAGGCTGTCCCTGCACGTGCTCAGGTGTGTGGGGCAGCCTGTGAGCCTGGTCCCTGTTGGAAATGCGGAGCCTCAGGCCCCCAGACCCACTGGGCCAAAATCCACCTCTCACAAGAGCAGCACGCGTGCACTCGGGTTTCAGAGCCGGACCCAGTGGTCCTCCGGGCCCTGCACGTGGACACCCGAGTTGGACTGTTCAGAGTTGTTACCACACAAGAGTCTTGGAAGGGATGATGGTGGCTCACCAGTCCCCCTGGGCCTGACTCCGGGTCGGGGCAGCCCCAGTGCTCCAGCTTTGCTGCCATTTGGCCGCGTGCAGACCAGAAGCGGCATTTTTGGCTGAGCCGGTGGCCCCTCCCACCGGCCCGGCCCTGCCCCATCCCACCTGCCACAGGTGGGAGCAGGCGGTCGGGGCCTGCGTGGCACCTGTGCGGTCCCAGGCCCACTCCTCAGCTGGCAGGACCCGGGGTTTTGGTGTTCCGAGGATAACGTAAGCTAGACGCGTCCTAGCGGGACTGGTGTGTTCACCGGAGTGCCCAGAACTGGCAGTGTGTGCGGCGGAGGGACCGCACGGGTGGGTCTCTGTTGTTTACAGCAGACAGCACCTGGGAGGGCTCTGTGCAGGGGGAGGGGGCTGCAGCATGCACGCGCCCCCAGGTCCTCAACCCCAGGAGAGAGGTGGGGAAACTGAGGCCCACTGAGATTCGGGCTCCAATCCAGCCGAACCACTACCCCAGGCCTCCTCTTGTGGCTGCGGCTGCAGAGCCAACATCAGCTCCTTCCGCCTGCCCGCGGTGGGAAAACCACTGCAGGGAAAAGGCCTGCACCCAAGCTGCACTCAGGACCCGCTCAGCACCCTCCTTGCTTTTAGGGAGAAGAAAAGGAAGCATTTATGGGGCCCGCTGTGCACCAAGAATTGTGCCCGGTGCCGCGGCACGTGCCCTCTTCCCCCCTACGCTTGGCCCGTCTTTGTGGACCAGTCTTGCCAGCTCCTGCTGGTGGTGCCAGGGATGCGCAGGGGAACTGGCACCCACGCCCCATGGTCGGGCCAGTACCCACAAGCCCCCTGTTGCCTTAGCTGGCTGGGGAGATGGGCCGCGAGGGCCCTGGGTGCACGGGAAAGGCGCTCCCCACGGAGGGGTGACGCGAACTCTGCTGTGCCCGGCCAGGCTGCACTGAAGCTGGACGGCGTGCTGGTGTGTGGGGGCGCCCTGCTCGATGCTGCCTGGTTGGTCTCTGCAGCCCACTGCTTCGACAGAATCAGGAACTGGGAGAACCTGACGGTGGTGCTGGGTGAGTTTTGTGGCTCCTCCACCTGCTGAGCGTGGCTTGTGAGACCTGCCACGAGACGAGTGCCTCCAAACAGAGAAGTGGGCAATGTCCGGGCGGACCCCGGTGCCGCAGGGTCCCAGTGTGGCCACGGCCCCCCGGCCTCTCCACCCACAGAAAGTCACGGAGGTGTTGCTCTGCTCTACTCCCTTCTCACTTGGGCCAAGAGCCCCAGGGTTGCCTGGTGGATGATGGGACGCCGAGCACCCCCAGGGAGGGTCTGGGAAGAACTGGGGGGATCCACCACCCCTCCTCACGTGCCCTCAGCACCCCCAGATTCACCCTGATTCACACTCCATGAGGAGCCCTGCGGTGGCTGCCTGGGGGTGCCGCTCCGGCCAGCCTGGGATGGAACACAGGGCCCCTTCTGCCCCAGAAGCAGGCTGAGGGGCGGGGTATGAGCGGTGCCGGTCCCCCGCAGGCGAGCACGATCTCCGCAAGGAGGAGGGCGAGGAGCAGGAGCGGCACGTCGCCCAGATCATCATCCCCGACAAGTACATCCCCCGCAAGACGAACCATGACATCGCCCTGCTGCGCCTGCGGACGCCCGTGGCCTTCACCAACCACGTCGTGCCCCTGTGTCTGCCCGAGAAGGCCTTCTCCGAGAGGACGCTGGCCTTCATCCGCTTCTCCACCGTCAGCGGCTGGGGCCAGCTGCTGGACAGGGGCATCACGGCCCTTGAGCTCATGGCCATCGACGTGCCCCGGGTGATGACCCAGGACTGCCAGGAGCAGTCACACAGGAAGGCGGGCTCTCCGGCAATCACCGAGAACATGTTCTGCGCCGGCTACCTAGACGGGAGCAAGGATGCCTGCAAGGGGGACAGCGGGGGCCCGCACGCCACCAAGTTCCAGGGCACCTGGTACCTGACGGGGATCGTCAGCTGGGGGGAGGGCTGTGCGGCCGAAGGTCACTTCGGGGTGTACACCAGGGTCTCCCAGTACATCGAGTGGCTGCGCAGGCTCATGAGCCAGAGCCCAACCTCGGGAGGCCTCCTCCGGGCCCCGCTGCCCTAGCCTCAGTGCAGGGCCACCCTAATAAAGCTGCCACTCGTCCCTGCTCTGTTCCAGAAACACCCTGCACTTCTGGAGTGGGGGAAGGGCGTGCAAAGCTGGCTGAGCAGGATGTGCCCGGGAGCACCGATGTGCCTGCCAGGGAGGGGACGCACTGTTTCCCAGGGGACCGTGCTCCCCTGACCGCCGTTGTGGTGGTGCGTGTGCACGTCGGCATGCATACATTGGTGCCTACACATCGGCACGCACACACACCTGCATCCACACATCGGCGTGCTTACACTTGCGTGCTCACACTGGCACACACACCTGTGTCCACACATTGGCGTGCTCACACTTGCGGGCTCACATCTTTACGTTCCATTCCTGTCTTCTTGCACAAGCATGTCGCCCTCATTTCACGTACACGGGAAGCATCATCCATTCATCCGGGGGACTATCCTTCCAGATCTTTCTGTGTACGTAGCTTTGACCATAAAATGTGAGGCTGTCACCCTCCATATGGCGTTTGTCACTGGCCCATCCGTGAGCACACCTCTGGAGCGCCCTCCTGCCACCCTGGAGCGCCCGTCCTCACCCTGTTGAGGCCCTGCTTGTCCTGGAGCACGCTTTCTCTCATGCTCACAGCACCCCAGAGATGGGCCTTCCTCCACCGAGGCTGTTTTCCAAAACCAAGAGCACGTGGGCAGGTTTTGGAGGCTGTGGTTCCCCAAACCCTACAGAACCGGGCGTCCTCTTCCCGCCAAGGTCCCAGTCAACAACGGTCCTCAATAAGGGTCCCAGGGAAGCCCTGCCTGAGAGCCACCAGTTTCCTCAGTCCTGCTGCATCAGTGGGACCGGGGAAGGACCCAGTGAGTGACATTTTTATCAGATCCCTCAGGTGATCGTGGGGCCCGCTCGGCCTAAAGCCACACAGGCCATGGAGGAGGGAGAAACAAGCTGTCTGGTGGGGGAGGGAGATGACACAGAAGTGGGGCCCCCCTAAACATGGCAAGGCAGGTAAGGGCCCTGCCCCCCACCAGACACATCCGCGGGTGGAGGGGGCAGACTGGTTGCCCCAAGCCTGGAACGCCAACGGTGCTCCACACGGGTGCATTTGGCGCCGGACTTGCTGGGCTGAGGGATCAAGCCATATTTAGTGTAGAGTGAACCCAGGCCACCTGGTTTTGTCCAAGTGTCCTGGGACATGCCCGTTCCTTACACGGCATCCTCGGACAGAAATGGTCCGGCCAAAGAGACTATCTGCCCCTGGAGCTGGACGTGCTCACCATCTGGGCCTTTGCACAAGAGGTTCGCTGGCAGCCCAGCCGGCCGCCGGCCGGGGTCTCAGCAAGCGGACGGCTGTGCACCTAAGGAGACCCACCAGTGGGCGAGTGCGGCCCGCCTCATACTCCTGGCCAAGCCACCTCCTGCCCTGTGCCATAGCTCCTTGTCTTTGAAACAGGGGCCTCGGTGCTGGTGACCAGGATGGTCTGGAGCATGTAAGATGAGGGCCCTGGGAGGGCCCGCTGTGTCATGGACAGTAAAGCCGGTGTGCAAGCCTCTGGCGTCCTCCCCACAGCTCGGGCTGCAGGTGCTGAGGGGAGTTTCCTGCGTGCAGAATCCAGGAGCTGCCAGGAGCCCCGCGCCCGGGGCACAGGAGCTGGCTGGCCCCATTCCCTGGAGAGGAAAGAAGAGGATGGGCTGGCACACTCGGGCTTCTCTGGCTGTCAGGGGGAGACATAGGCCCCTGCCCGGTAGAGCTGCCATGGCACGGGCGCCCGGTGACTTCGGGACAGCCCCTAAAGGCTAACATGGCTGATGAGCCCACAGGCTCCCACGTTACCCCCAGCACTGGATGCCAGAGATGGGAGGGGCTCACCCGGGACCTGGTCTCCCCCACATGCTGAACGCACCCAGAGACAACACCACACACAGAGGCCGGCGAGACAGGCCCAGGGCACCCCCTGTCCCCAAGGGCCAGGCTCTGCATGTCACAGCGGCCACCCTGTGGACGACCAGCCAGAGCAGAAGACTTTTGGGACATCACTGCCGCATTCGGTCTGTGAGGGGTGGTTAAGCACCCACCATGTGCCACACACCCCTGCAGCAAAAAGCAGACAGCCTGAGGCTTCTGTCCCAGTGAGCAAGGGTGTCAGAGGTCACTCACCACGTGCAGAATGTCAGGTGTGGTGGGCGCTGTGGAATATGGGGCAGTGTCTCCATCCTTGTCTCTGTATCCTGCTGTCTCTCTGTCCCTGTCTCTGTCTCTCCCTGTCTCTGTGACACCCCCCCCCCCGCCCCTGAGGGCCCTGGCACGTGGCCCGAGCCCACCACGTGGCTGAACTGCCACGGGCTGAGCCCCCTTGGGCTGGGGGGATGTGGCAGGTGTATCTCCCACGTCTCACGTGCAGTGCACTGGCCAGGAGCCCCCATATTCCTCACCCCCTCTCCCGGGTGGCCGGACCGGCTTGAGAGAGAGAGAGAGAGAGACTCACCGTAAGGCCCCCGATCTGGGGGCTCACTTCCCTGCCCCGCCCACCCCCAGTGGGGTGTGCGAGGCAAAGCCCCTCTGGGAAACCCCCAGCCCGCAGGCATCTCCAGGACTGAGAGGGCCAGCCCGCTGCTCCCTGGGCACGGGCTCCCCAACCTCTAGCCAGATGTCCTGGGCTGGCACGGGCTGCACCGGGCAGGCCAGACCCCCCAGAAGTGTGGGCAGGAGCCCTCAGCCCAGAGGGGCCACAGGACACCCCTGCCTCCTGGGGCCCCTGGATTTCAGCGGGGTGATGCCAGCCTTTCACGCTGGCAAAGCCAGTGCACCAGGACCCCCTATGATGGTGGCACTTGGTGGCACCTCCTGATGCCACCTGGAGACAGAGGCCATGGGCAGAAGGTCTGCTGCTATGGCCGACAGCCTTGGGTCCAAACCCCATGTGTGCCCCGGACAGCCCTGGGCTGACACCTGCTGTAGACCTAAGAGTCTGTCCTGGAGAAAAGATGGGACTGGACACTCAGCTCTTAGCGTGGCTGGAAGGACAGAATGACCACAGACACAACGTGGCTGGAAGGACACAATGACCACAAACACAACGTGGCTGGAAAGACACAATGACCACAGACACAACGTGGCTGGAAGGACAGAATGACTGCAGACGCAACATCTACAAACTATAAAATGACACTTTTGTTCTCCTAACAACTCCCTGTGCCCATGGCTGGCCCCTCAGACTGAGTGCCCAATGATGCCAGGGCCACCCCAGCCCCCCCAGGGCTGCACCTGCAGGGTGGCCCTGCCCCCGCGAGGTCACTGGCGCCCGGCCCCTCAGCGGCCCAGGCTCCAATCAGGAGGCAGTGATAAGAGAAGGTCGACCAGCCGCCCGGGGCCAGGGTGCGCGAACCTTGCCCTGGAGGCCTGTCACGGCGGGACAGACACGCCGTTCTTGGCCACACCATGGCGGGCCCACGGTGCCTTGTCCTGCTCAGCACCTCACTGACCTGCCTCCTACTCCTGGGGGACAGTGGTAAGTGCCCTCGCCCTACAGACTACAGAGGTGACCCCCAGGGAAGAAGGGGGACAGTGGGAACCAGGGTGCTGCCCTCACACCTCCACAGGGTGGAGAGTGGGTGCCCATCTCCTGGTGTGACATGGCTGGGCCTGGTGGCCTCCTTCCCTGTGGATGGGGAGCCAGATGGCAGGCCGGGTCACACACAGAAGCCGTGAACAGGGAAAGAGGGAGAGACCGAGAGAGATGGAGAGAAGTGCCCCTCCACGCCAGAGCGAGCCCAGTGGCGGGGGCAGGGGGGGGGGGGCGGTCACAGGCAGGGAGGAGCTTCCAGGGCCGAAAGAGAATGAGGTTCAAGCCGGCGCCTACACCCTTAGGCCGGCTTGGCCAGGGGAAGGGGCTGCCTGATTCAAGGCTGGACAGAGGGGGGCTTCTGCACCTTCCAGAAAGGCCGGAGGAGGCCAGAGGAGCAGGGCCTGGGGGTGGGCAGGGGTGGGCAGGGGCCCGGCAGCTGTTTGCGTCCTGGATGGAGGGGGGTGGACAGGGCCCGCAGGGCAGGCAGAGGGCACCTGGTGTGTGGGGGACGGGGAGGCTGTGAGAAGAGAGAAACCTAGTATATAGCAACACCTAGTGTGTACCAACGTGAACACTGAGACAACTGAGACACACGTGTCGTAATTCTCACCTGCCGACAGTGGGCAAGTGAACTGTATCTGAACCGAGACCGCCTGGCTCCCGGGTCCCAAGTCTAGTCCTGCACGTGGGGAGCTGAGGGCTCACCATCGAGGGCGGGGGCGGAACTCAGAATGCAGGTCGCAACCGGGAAGAGCAACTCGGAGGGCGAGGCAAGAAGGAAGGCAGAGAGCGGGTGTGGGGCTGAGGAGGAGTCGGGGGTCCTGGTCCACGGTGGAGAGAGAGAAGGAGGTGAGAGACCGAGAGCACAGCCGGAGACGTGGGCGCAGGTGGAGGAGGGTCCGGGGGGTCCCGGTGCACGGTGGAGAGAGGGCAGGGCGGGCGCAGCCAGAGGAGGGGTTCCGAGATGCTCGGACCCAAGACCATTCAGCGGGCGGGTGGGGATTCATCTGAGAGCTGCAAATCAATGCAGTGGGATTCTTAAGTGAAGCAGAACAGAAATCAAGTACAAAACTTTGTAATAAGAACTGTTTCTTCAAAGCCATGTTTTCATGTGTGGTCCTGGGCCTTGATGAAAAGCCTATTTTGGTCGTAGAGCATGATCATAACAGCGCCACAGCTCACCCCTTCGGAGAGCTGAGAGCGGGAAGGGTGGGGGCCGGGCGGGGCACAGGAGGGTGGCCCCAGGACCTCTGGGAAGCGAGAGTCCAGGGAGGGCTTGGGGGGCCAGCGCGGAGCTGCCAGTGAGGCCCCGGGAGGTGGCAAGGGGAAGGAGCAAGCGGACTTGCACACCGAGGGGAGCCCGGGGCCTGGAACAGGCGGGGTCCCGTCCTGGGCTGGCTCGGGGCGCAAGCAAGGGGCCTTTTGCAGCGCGGGGGTGAGCGGACG